TTGCACTCTGCTAGGCCTTGTACCTACTGGGCCTCACTTGCTTACCTCTTGACCTTGCTTGTACTGTGATCACTATATATATATGCCTACTTGTTTACTTTTGCTAGGTTGTGATCACTGTATCTCTTGCTTTGTTATAAACCTGCATGTGAACTGGTCTTGTGACCACTTGCTTGTGCTCGGAATTTGTGTGGAATCCTTGAGATCCACCCTGAGCTTGCTTTGCTTTGCTTTGACTGGTCTTGTGACCCTGTGGTTGTCTCCCACTGCGCCTATGGGGGTGTGTCAAACATTGTATGTTTATATTGTGTAGGCTGTAGTGGGTTACACCTTAGGGGGTACACAAAGTTAGGGTTTCCTACTTGTACCAAACTCTGTGCTAGTTCATTTCATTCCTGCTCAGTTATTCTGACACCAACTTCGCACCTGATCCAGAAGCTGGAGACGAGGCAGTCTATCCCGAGGACACCACACTCCCCCGCTACACACAGAGTGGACTCCAGATACTCGGGCTCGTCACCGCGGTCCACGGCGCCGCCATTCCTAAAGAGCCTGCAACGGTTCAGCAGGCTCTGGGGGGGGAACACAGGGAAAAATGGCGCGAAGCCATGGACAAGGAGCTGAAAGCGCTAGAAGAACGCAACACCTGGAAAATCGTTCCTATCGGTGTAGCACGAAACAAGACCATCCTCACCGGAAAATGGGTCTTCCGCGTGAAGACGAAAGCAGATGGCACCATCGACAAATTCAAGGCGCGCTGGGTCGTACGCGGCTTCGACCAAGAGCACGGACGCGACTTCACCGAAACCTTTGCTCCGGTCAGCCGACACACCTCACTACGCATTCTCCTCGCAATCGCCGCCATGAAGAAGAAAAAGCTACGACAAATCGACGTCGCAAACGCCTTTCTCTACGCACCTGTTGACGCAGAAATTTTTGTGGAGCTGCCGCACGGCTCCAACACAGATTCCACGCATGTCTGCCAGCTGCTCAAGTCGCTTTACGGAATCAAACAGGCCCCGCGACTATGGCAGCAATACCTGCACGCTCGTCTCATCCGCATCGGCTTCAAGCAACTCCCGCACGACCAAGGCATGTATCGACTCACTAAGAACAACGACTACGTCCTGTTAATCGTCTACGTGGACGATCTCCTCTACATCGGGTCAACCGACAGCATCGCAACCTGGTTCGAAGGGGAGCTGCAGAAAGACCTCACACTTACGGTCTCGTCTACCGTCACACAGTACCTCGGCCTCAACATCCGAGAAGAAGAAGATGCGATCTATCTCAGCGCCGAGAAATACGCCGACACTATCGCTAAACGCTTCGCTCTCACACCAGCCGCCATCTCCACGCCATACCGCTACACGACAGGAACCGAGAAGGGACGATCCACTCTACTCAAACCAGCCGGCATACGCGACTATCAGAGGAAGCTCGGATGCCTCCTCTTCGCAGCCGTCACATGCCGTCCCGACCTCTCATACTCCGCAAGTCAACTCGCCACCTACCTCAAGAAGCCTGAAACAGAACATCTGGCGGAACTTGACCGCGCTCTTCACTACTTCATCAGCACCGCGACGATCGGCCTAACCTACCACAAGAACGCAGCTACACCAACTAAGCTAATCGGCTATGTCGACGCCGATCACGCCGGCGACTCCGACAACAGGCGCTCACGTACCGGCTACGCCTACCGCCTCGAACCTATCGGACCTATTTCCTGGCAGTCGAGCAAGCAGGAGTTAATCGCGCTATCATCAGCTGAGGCAGAATATATCGCACTCTGCTCAGCCACCAAGGAAGGCCTTTATCTCCGCGAGCTGCTGGAAGAAGCAAAGTTAGCTGAGTTACCCAACTTCACCCTGTTCTGCGACAACCAGTCTGCAATTCGCATCGCCAACAAGAACGGTTTCGCGAACAGGACGAAACACATCGCACTGCGCTACTTCTTCGTGAAGGACGAGATCGAGAAGGGGAGACTTCAGCTGTCATACTGTCCCACGTCCGAGATGGCAGCCGATTATTTGACCAAGAAACTCGGAAAGCAGAAATTCGAGTACTGCATGCTGCTGACTGGACAGAGCCACGTCATCAGCAACGACACTCCAGAAGCGAAGGGGAGTGTTGGAAATAGTGAATCTTAAGCGCTTCAGTCGTGTCGAAACATCGCACCAGAAGCGAAGCAAGCTGTATCGAAACAAACGCGAGTCAACCTTCGGAGGTTGAGAAGTTGCCGGAGGTTACGCGAAAGTCAAAGGTCAAGCGACCTTTGACCTGACAAATACAGCGCGACAGTTAAGGACACACAACTGACTCGTTACAGAGCAGTTGCCCGAGTCGTACTGTATCGAACCGCAACAGCAACAGTAAAGAAGTTACAAATTGCATCCTTTCATATTCCTTGTATTATTATATAATCTTGTACTTCCTTGCTATAATCAATCTACTTTGCCCTCATATACCAGCGCAAGGTGGTTCACAAACTTTGTTAAACGCTTCCGCTATTACAACACTATCCCACCCAGAGTTCTTTCTTGAAAAGATCCTAAGGGGCTATCTCAGCCCAACAAAAATCACTCTTGAAATGATATCCCCGAAATGTGAAACCAAATCTATAGGGTTGCTACGCAACCCAAAAAACACACCCCAACCACCACCTCGCTCGAAGTTGAAGTGTTGGCTGATGTGTGATTTTTGTGCTCGGTTTTTCCGTACGTAGTACCCTGAGGCATCGACATACCCTGGTACAGTAAAGCACTGACTTGAATTACCCCGTCGATGGGCGCGCGAAACTCAGTCTGCAGTTCGTCATTTCCCTCGGGAAACTACCACCCCACGTGGCGAAATTTCCTATCTCGCTTTTCCCCCGAGGGGGGGAAAGGCGTCCTCGGAACCCACGTCGGAACCATCATCATTTCCCTTTCCCCTCCCTCCACCCTCCCCCGTCGGGTGCCTGCAGTCCATCCGGGCCCTGGTGGGACGGTTTCCACCAGGTCCCCCTCCTGGTGGAACCGGGTTCCCACCAGGGCCGCACGCGGATGCAGGCCCTGTCGCGGCCCACAGCTGGCTGCCGCACGCGAGCGGGAGTCCCCCGCCCTGCTGCAAGTCCCTAGCGAGATTCGGGCGGCGGAGTCAGCTGGCGTGGTGGTCCCGCGCCGAGCCCGGGCCACGCCAGCGCCATGCAGTGTGGTCCCCCCCCCCCCCGGCCCAGCCCTGGCTCGCGAAACCCTTCGCGAACCCCCTCGCTCTCCAATCCGATGTCGAGGGCCGAACCCTCAGCGCGCCGAAACAAAACCCGCCAATCGGAGACGTTCCCGAGTGGTTTGTCCCTCGGAGAACCCTCGCGAGGCAATTCGCATGCGAATCCGAGCGTGCGAAGGGAAATTCGGGCTGGCCGAAACGGATCCGGCCAATGGGAGCAGGTTTCCGAGCGACGGGCGAATCGGCGACGACCCACGCGTGCGAAACGGTCCCGTGGTGCCCGAAAAAGAGCCGGCCAATCGCCGTCGTTTTCGAGGGTCGGACAGCTCGCACGAGCCTCGCAACCTTTCTGCGAAGCGAATGTGGAGTTGTAATTTTCGGTACGGAGTGTACTCTACTGGAATGAATTAATCGAAATTATTTTATATGCATCAGGGAATTACTCAACTGCGCGTGTACATGTAATATAACGGAGTGTATTGCTAATTCGGGGGGAGCCGATTTGGTGTACCCGATGGTTACATCGGGGTTCGGCGGACGCGACGAGGAAAAGTCTCCCCGCGAGAGTCGGTATCCTGTGGATGGAGTGCGTCGTGGCGGACGTGTGCTGCGCAAGCGTGCATGTTGCGGAACCTCTTTTCCCCTTGTCAAAATCGGAAGCGGCGCGGGTTGAGAGGCCCGCGCTGTTTGACCGCGAGTGCCCTTTCTTGATTCCCCCCGTGGCCCCCTCTTAGGTTCTCGGAAAGGGCAATTGGTGCTCATTTTCGTTCTCCTCCTTCACAACCTGTTTTCTTCCTTCTCGTCGGTTCCACGAGAGCGGTCTTCATCGCCTAGTGCTAGTAGAGACTCTGACTGGCCGCGATCGCGCGTGGTCGCGTTCATCTTAGCTCCTGCTTCCTTAACGCGAGCATCGTTAGCGGACCGTTCCTCAAAGATCCCCCGTACCTGTAGTCGCGCGCTTGAGGTGGTACCAGTGATGAACTGCGAAATGAAGGCGCTAAGAGCTGGGTCGATGGCGGCCGCCTCATGTCCGGCCGTCATCTCTGTTGCGGGAGCCACGGTGGAACTCCCCCCCCGAACAGTGGAAGCTGCTCGCTGATGACAAGCATCCGTTCACGGCCCGTCTGTTCGACTTTGTTGCAAGGTGAGATCCTTGCGTCCCAATCCCTGATTCCACAGTGCACGCGTGGTTGTTGGACGCGTTCTTTAGGATGCTCGTGACATGTCCGCAGTATGTATAGTGGACTGTGCATGTCGCTTCGTTTTCCCGCGGTGCTTATAGGTCGCGCTGTTTGTGTCCGAGCTTTTCCACGCGGTGTTTTACCTCTTCCCGCACAGCGTGATTGTCCGGAGGTTTTTGGAGAAAGAGGTGCATGCGCACGTCAGGATCGTGACGAGCGATGTGGTCGCGGACATCGTCGCGGGTCACGATGAGGCGGTCAAGGCCTTTGCCGGTGTGATGGAGTGCAGCCTGGTTGCTTTCTGCATCTGGACCGAGTGAGTGTTTATTTGGGAGTGATCACTGCTACGGGGTACGCACTCGATTGTGTGGTTTAACGCGGTCGTCAATGTAACGTGCAGGGACTTGACTGACAAGAAGTGCTCGAATGCGAGCATGCTCATTATGCTTCACCCCGACCACCTGTCGACTGACGGTGACGAGAATTGCCACACGCGGTTCGTTCGTGTTGCTATTCCATCTGGTGGACGGGAACACGTCACCGCGGCCGAGGCGATTGTGGAGTGAGTACCGCGTACAAGTGTATCATCATTACCATGATCATCTCCGCTACATGGCTCACGTCACTAACCGTGCGTTCGCGTTGGAGAAGGAGGCGAAGGCGGTCGCGTTCGAAAGGGCAGCGCTGTGCGATACGCGCAACCAGGAGGCCTTGGTCCTGGGGCGCGTGGACGCGAGGTTGGGTCAGCTGCAGGGGGTGGTGGCAGACTCCCTCGAAACCGCTCAGAAGAAGTTGACCGACGAGGTTGCCCGGAAGATCGACAACATGTCGACCGCGGTGTCCGCGACAGCCGAGCGGGCAATCACAACCAGCGGGGTCACCAACGCGCTGCACACCCTCATCGTGCTCGTCGGAGGAAGCCCACCCACGCGCACGGACAATGGTGAACCAGCCGCGACGGACACCGCCGAGCCCGGGGATGCTGAGCATGGAAAGCGGTCGGCGGGTGTGAAGGGCGAGAGTCAGCGGGGCCCGAAGAGGCAGAGGGGTCCACAGGCAGCGGCTGCGGTGCGCCACCCGAGCGTGCATGACATTCTCAAGAACAAGTGGGCCGCTGCATCGCGAGGAGCTGTACCGCCTGGTCAACCTGGGTCGAGCTCGCGCTCCATCCCACCTGGAGAAGCCGCACCCATTCCACCGGGTCCTGCCAGGGCAGCCGCGACAGTGACAACCGCTGTGGGTAAGGGCAAGGGTAAGGTGGAGGAGGGAGAGGTGCCGGCCGCTGCGGGTTCGCTGGCCGCGAGGCGTGAGGGGCAGTCCGCGGCGGCTGCTGCGGCGGATCGAAGGCAGACCGCTCTCGCACCCGCTCTTCCCGCGATCACCGCGGGACACCTGCACAGCGCGCTGGCATCTGCAGGTCCGAGCGCGGCCGCGGGCGAGGCCAAGACGGAAAAACGCGGGCGAGGCAAGAAGTTGCCCCCTCCACCAGTGTACACCATCGACGAGGACGATGCGGACGAAGAGCTCGAGAATCTCGCGAGCCGGTGGGTCGGGGAGGAGGGCGACGGAGGAGAGCAGGGTGTGGTGGACGTGGTCGAACTTCATAGCGGCGAGGAGAGCGCGGACGAGCAGGACGAAGACCCCGTGGTCGTGCCAAGTGGCCCAACGGGGGGACAGGGTGACACAGTCAGCAAGCGCAAAGGCTGTGGTATCCGCCATCCTCCAAGGGGCGGTCCTGGCTTGGTTTCTGAACCGCATCTGGGGACGGGGGAAAAAGCGGTGGCTTGGACAAGGCGACCGCGACGACCTGCAGTACAAGACCGCAGTCGCGATGATGCCGTACGACCTGAAGGTGGATCCCGGGCTGCACCTCAGCTCTAAGCAGATGCGGGAGTGGGCCGCGGACCTGTCCGCTGCCGAGGGGCTACACACGGGCCTCCTCATCACCATGCATCACCGCAACCTCGTGGCCAGCAGGGAAAGGTGAGCGGTACCATACCACATTATCTAGCGCGTTCATACGGTCGTGTATGTTGGGGGTGCGGGGTTGGTTTATCGTGTTCTGGCCGCTACACCCACTGCGTGGCAGGTGGACCCGCATGTTCAAACACTACCGCGAGCTGACCCAGCCCGGGTCGACCACCACCAACGAGATTGCATGGGCCGCGGTGGTGGGCACGGAGGCTGCTGCAGAAGAGACGGAGCTCTACCGCGATGTGGATCCGAGGGATTACGCGGGAGCGATCGCGTGCGCGATCGCAATGGTGTGGGAGTTGACACGCGGTTCTGCGGTCTCGACCGCGTCGGATTCTGGCAATTTGGCCGCGCGAGCGGTTAACTGCCAGAGGGATCGATGCCGTCTGTTCCCCGTTGTAACCGCGTACGTCATCAGGGCTGTGCGGAGGCGCAATTCTCGCGAGAAGCAAGCTGGTGACGACGAGCCGAAGGTAGTCGCGGATCCGAAGGTGGTCGCGGAGGCGATTGCATCTGAAGTCGTGAACGACGTCGTCGCCAAGTCTCGCGACCTCAGGCACATTGAGATGGCTGCTCGCGAAACGGTGGACGTTATCATCACCTGGTGCGACTGCTCGGTTGCAGGGAAGGTCATGGAGTCCATTGGGCTTTACCTTGCCCTGCCCAAGGATCGTCCGAAGAAGCGGACCTGAGTGCGTGTAGTGTCGCGTCGCGTGTGCGCAGCCTGTCCACCCTGCTTGAGTTCTACTCGCGGTGGATTGTTCATGTTGCGGACATGTGTGCATGTAGTATATATGTGTACGTGTGTGTGTGTGTGTGTGTGTGTGTGTGTGTGTGTGTGTGTGTGTGTGTGTGTGTGTGTGTGTGTGTGTGTGTGTGTGTGTGTGTGTGTGTGTGTGTGTGTGTGTGTGTGTGTGTGTGTGTGTGTGTGTGTGTGTGTGTGTGTGTGTGTGTGTGTGTGTGTGTGTGTGTGTGTGTGTGTGTGTGTGTGTGTGTGTGTGTGTGTGTGTGTGTGTGTGTGTGTGTGTGTGTGTGTGTGTGTGTGTGTGTGTGTGTGTGTGTGTGTGTGTGTGTGTGTGTGTGTGTGTGTGTGTGTGTGTGTGTGTGTGTGTGTGTGTGTGTGTGTGTGTGTGTGTGTGTGTGTGTGTGTGTGTGTGTGTGTGTGTGTGTGTGTGTGTGTGTGTGTGTGTGTGTGTGTGTGTGTGTGTGTGTGTGTGTGTGTGTGTGTGTGTATTAGCGTGAGACCATAGTGTTGACATTTGGAACAATATGTGCTTGAACACAGAATCATGACTACCGCGGAGATTACCGCGGACGTGTACCGCGAACAAAAGCTCGTCAACATTCTTGGTCAGCAGCACGCACTTTTCGAACGCGATTCAATGGGAAACACACACATGTCGTACGTTGAACATTAAAGAACCATTGGTCAACACTCATCCTACATTACACATACGACGCGAAGTGAACAGCCTGACAAACTATGTCCCGTGATCGCGATCTCAAGCACTAAGCTAGCGAAGGCATCTGGGCACAGTACTGAGGCCACGCGGTCGGGAACTCTGACGCGGGAAGAGAGGCATCGATGAAGCGGTCGCGTACAAGCATCCATTTCACCCGCAACTGCACCTCCGCCGGGGAACCCTTCTTCAGCTCGCTCAGGTTCAGGTCAACACTCTTCTTTTTCACCGCGATCCCTTCCGACACTCCCGACATGCCCACAGCTTGAGACACGAGGTCGAGCTTGTCGAGCACGACCGCGATGTTGTCTCCCTGCTCCACCCTGCGGGAGATGAAGTCCATGACTCGCTTTACACGGTTTATCGCGTTCTGGCCGCCTCCCTCCTTCCCAATCAGCTCGGCCATTCGCGTAACTGCACCGCGGGGTTGGGCCAGGAGCGACTCTGGACTCTCGCCGACCAGCGCGTGCGTGGACTTGTACAGCTTCCATCCGTCCGACGGCTTGGTCGCGTTGACCCATGGTTTCATGATCGCGTCTCGAATTGTCTCTTCCCTGGTCGGCTGTGCTGGTTTCTTACGCGTCCCCTGGTCGGTGGGGGTTGCGGAATTGGTAGGCGCGGCCGCGGCTCCGAAAGTGTTTGCCGGACTCGGATCCGCGGTCGGCCCTGAGCTGCTCACGGTGAGACGCGACAGCTGGGCTTCCAGGTCATTCACGCGCTCGTCCTTCTCAGCCAGCCTCCGGTCGCGATCGTCCAGCAGCCCCTCCAGCTCTTTCACCCGTCTCTGGGTCGCGGCCAGCTCTACGCCCAGCCTTGTGTTGTCCGCTTGTGAACGTGTCAGGTACTCAGTGAGGCAGGCCACTTGGTTCTGCGCGTCCATCCTGGTACTGACCTCCTGCATACACAGAACGCGAACGCGGAAAATGTGATTTGTACGCATGGACATGACAGCCGAACTAGTAACGCGAACAAACAGTACGCACCGCGGGATGTGTCAGTGTAGGTGTGTTACGCTGTACTATGGCCAGCTGATATGCCAATGAGACATCTACTGCCCACCGCGCAAATTCCTCCGTCTGGCAGAGCGGGTTGTTGACCACGTACGGGTGTCGCGGCTGGTGTATGTAATACATGGCCAGGTCTTGTGCGACCGCCATTTTAGCCTCGCCATCCAGCTCCTTCAGTATGTTTAGCCCCGCGGTGTCCTGCTTCTCCGGCTTCTTCTCTTTGACCATCTTGCTGTTGTAATCATGGCACTGTGCAACACAACAACGCGATAGATCGTTAGAGCGGAGCCTGCGGGTTATGTGGAATGATCGCGGTGTGTTGATACTACTATGCGCGGCCCACACATACCTGTTTCTGCCCTTTATCCGCGGCGAACTAGGGGAAATGTGCTTCCTCAGCAGCTTCTCCAGCGCCTCGCTCGGCGGTACAGTTGCGCGACCCAGGAAGTAGTCACCATCAACCCCTGTGAAGCCAGCCTTCAGGAGCACGGCCTCCCTCGGAATAGTTGTGAGGTAGTGCTTAGTCATCACGTCGATGAAGCGCCACCCCCCCAGTCTCGCCAGCTGATCGGAGGGCATTCCGTCCGCGGACGCGTGCTGCGCCCCCCCAGCCCTAGTCGCGTGAACCACACGCGAGCATGTGATTCCCGCGTCCCCCAGAATCTTCGCCGCCCAGTCGTGATGAGTTGTCGGCGGAATCTGCTTCTCGGTGCCCGCGCGAAGGGGGAAGAAGAGGTACTGGTCGTACCACGTCGAGGGTTCCGTGAAGTCGAGAGGGGGGGCTATGTCCCCGTAGAGGATGGGGACCAAGTCGTACACCAAGTGCAGCCACAGCAGCGTGGCTCCGACCGCGCACAGAGTCCAGTCTATGTGTCTCACTGCCGAGATGTAGTTGAGCGAGAAGTCCTTGTTTGTCTTGCCCGTCCTGCACGCGCAGACAAACGCGAACGCTTTCCGCACTGGATCCGTCTCGGATTTTGCGCCGAGCTTCCACATCATCATGTCTGGAAGCTGGAGGTTTCTGATCGTGCAGCCGCGGGCTAGTGTGTGATGACCGAGGACGGTCATCGTGCGGATGCAGAGGTCGCGATGCAGTGCCTGGGTGTACTGTTGCTTGGCTAGTGTGAAGCTGCTCAAGATTGCGGCCATGCTGGTCTTCCGCATCATCTTCTTGAACTCGTCCGGGTTGTACGTGTCCGCGGCCGTGCCCCGATGGCGATCCATGTGTTCCCTGCGCAACCAGTTGGAAGAGAGTGAGTATGCAGGTGAACGCGGTTTTGTTGGACATACGCGGTCAATGCGTGTGTAAACTTACGAGATAAACCGCTTATATTGGTCGCGTACTTGAACGCGGACCCAGATGCGACACTCCGCAAAGTCGCGCAACAAATTCAGCACGGGCTTCCTGAAGATGGCCCCGTCCAGCTTGATGAGCATGTTCAGAGCCTTGAGACGCCCCATCAGCATTGCAGGGGAGCACTGGCGTCTCTTCTTCAGGGTCTTGTCGGGCCGCTTGAGCGTGGCCATCCTGTCCGCCTGTGCGACCGTCTCGTTCGCGAGGAAGGTTATGTATTTGCGTAACCGCCACGGATTCGTCTCAGGGCCGTGGAACCACTGCTCGTCGCCCTTGGCCATCTTCCAGTCACTACCCATGTTCTGCTCGAGCGCGGCCCCGATCTCGTCGGGGTTCGCGTTTTCCAACGCGGCCTCCTCACCGAATCTACTCGCTTCCAGTTTTGGCAGCTCGTGCGCCATGAAGAGCTTGTACTCTCTTGCCCAACCGCGATATTTCTTCAGCGTGGCCTCCGAGAAACCGTAGAGGATGCCCATGCACACCTCTCTTTTCGCGGCCGGCGTGTCGTCCACGCCAAGCCTGTTCCAGTCCGCGATGGGGACCTCCAAGTCCGTTCGCGTACCCCGCACCCGTTCGTTATCTTCCGCCTCCCCCTCGTTGAGCGTGGACAGCGAGTTCGACAGGTAGTTTTCGTCATCGTCATTCCAACTGTCGTCCTCATCATCAGCGTCGTCCTCGTCATCCTCGTCGCTTTCCCCCTCGCTCACCTCCATCGATCCGTCGCGTGCCGTGGGAGGCACGACTTCGACTCGCCGCCTCCTTACACGCGGTCTACTGACTGGCACGTTCCCGGTACCTCCGGTCGCGTTAACACCGGTACCTCTGCCTCCGTTGCCTACCACCCCATGCGCTCTCCGCCCGTTCGCACTACCTCCGTTCCGTCCCACACCGGTCCCACGTCCCGCGCTCGCTCTCCCACCCCTTCCTCTCGCACCTCTCCCACTCTCACCTGCCCCTCTTCCCGCGTTCCCACTCGCACCAGTCCCTCTTCCTCTTCCCGCGTTTCCCCTTGCACCAGTCCCTCTCGCTCTTCCCGCGTTTCCTCCTGCACGCGCTCCTCGTCCCGCGTTCCCCGCGTAAGCATGTGGTTGTTCACCTACACCGTCGTCCGCTGCGGTCGGGTGCGCGGGGGTGCGGATGTGGACGTCCGGGTTTCCCGGCAACAGCGAGTTCACGTTCCATATTGGCGGCGAATGTGCACGCGCGCTTGCATCCATCTCCGCTCCAACATTCTCCGCACGCACTGAACCATCGGGAACCGCGACTGTGTCAAACATTATATATGTTGTGTTTGTTTAGGCTACAGTGGGTTAGCCTATAGGGGGTACACAATTCTAGGGTTAGGTACTTGTACTGATTTCACTGCTAGTTCAATCATTCCTGTCTGTTGATTTCGACATGGTTTCAGAGCAGGTCCTTCGCTAGGACCGTTCTTAGGGCCCACCACTACCTACCTACCTACCTACCTACCTACCTACCTACCGTGCGCCCTCGTGCGCCTACGCGCCCCAGTGCGCCTCCTACCTACCGCGCGCGCGCAGCCCGCCAGCCAATCGCGCGCGGCTCGTTTTCTATTTTTATTTTTTAACCGCGCGCGACCCGCTAGCTGCCCGCGCGCGGCCGATTTCTTTTGAGCGCGACCGGCTAGCCGCCCGTGCGCCGCTCGCACCGCTATAGCGCAGCCCGCAGCGGCCCCGCCGGCCTGCACATTGCCGCCCGCCCGCTGCAGCGCCCGCCCGCTCGTCGCCCGCTGCAGCTGCCGCCCGCTCGTCGCCCGCTGCAGCTGCCGCCCGCTCGTCGCTCGCTGCTGCTGCCGCCCGCTCGTCGCTCGCTGCAGCGCCTGCCCGCTCGTCGCCCGCTGCAGCTGCCGCTCGCTCGTCGCCCGCTGCTGCTGCCGCCCGCTCGTCGCCCGCTGCAGCTGCCGCTCGCTCGTCGCCCGCTGCAGCTGCCGCCCGCTCGTCGCTCGCTGCTGCTGCCGCCCGCTCGTCGCCCGCTGCAGCGCCTGCCCGCTCGTCGCCCGCTGCAGCTGCCGCCCGCTCGTCGCCCGCTGCTGCTGCCGCCCGCTCGTCGCACGCTGCAGCTGCCGCCCGCTCGTCGCCCGCTGCTGCTGCCGCCCGCTCGTCGCCCGCTGCAGCTGCCGCCTGCTTGTCGCCCGCTGCAGCTGCCGCTACCACGGGCTCGCCGCTGCAGCTACCGCCTGCGCGTCGCCCGCAGCCGCTCCCGCTCGTGCGCCGCGGCCGCTACCGCCCGTGCGCTCCTGTTGCGCCTGCTACCGCTGCCGCTGCTGCACTCGCTCCCACTGCGGCCGCCGCTTCTGCGCCCACTGCCGCTCCCGCCCGTGCGCATCAGCTGCTGCCGCCCGTGTGCTGACACTGCCGCTATGGCTACTCCTACTGTACTTACTTTCGATGCTGAGGGCCGTCCAGTGAAGTTCGAAACCTGGCTCGATGACCTCCACCTCTTTCTACAGCTCACTGCTAAGGAGGACGTTTCACTGTACGATCACGCCCTAGGCAACGCTACTGCCCCTCCTACCACTGCTGACAGCACTCAGCGCTCACAGTGGCAGACTCGTGACGCCCACGCTCGCTTCGCTATTCGTAACTCCCTACCGATCGACGAGCGCGAGCACTTTGGCCAGCACAAAACTGCTAAGGACCTGTACACTGCTGTAGTCGCTCGCTACTCCTCCCCCGCTTCTGCCACACTAGGCCGCCTCACTCTCCCCTACCTGTTCCCCGACCTGGCCTCCTTTCAGACAGTTGCTGACCTCATCACCCACCTTAAGACCAGTGAGGCCCGCTTTCGCGCTGCTATGCCTGACGAGTTCCTCACCAGCAACCCCCCCCCGCTCTGGATCACTCTCTACCACATAGTCACCCGCCTCCCCGACTCCCTGCGCACAGTCAGGGACCACTTCCTCTCTCGCTCCCCCACTGAACTCACCATTGCCCTCCTCGAGAAGGAACTGCTTGCAGCTGAGGCGAGCATCGTCGCTGTAGGCACCTCTCGTGGCGACCCCCGCACCCCGTTCTTTGAGGGGTGTTCCCCTTCCCCTCTCCTCCCCTCTGTCGCCTCTGCTGCTGCTGTCGACCTCCTTGGTGCTGGGAAGGTCGGGGCCGCGTCTGCTTCGAGCGGGCGCCGCAAGAGCAAAGGGGGCAAGGGTGGAGGTGGCGGCGGAGGAGGTGGGGGTGGAGGCGGTGGGAGTGGAGGAGCGGCTGGGGAGGCTAGTGGCGGCAGTGGGGGTGGTGACAGCAGCGGCGGGAGTGGCGGCAGGGGTGGAGGCGGCAGCGGAGGCGGAGGTGGTCGTGGCAGCGGCAGGGGTGGAGGTGGCCGAGGCGGTGGCGGCGGCAGTGGTGGTCGTGGAGGCGCTGGCGGTGGCCAGAGTCAGCAGCCCGCCCCGTCGCTTCAGGCCGCCCGTGAGTGGTATGCGCAGCGTGGCTTTACCTGCACGTACGTCATTCGCACTGGTGACCGCACTGGCCAGCAGTGTGGGAGGCCGCATCCCACACAGCGCTGTTTCGCGCGCCTTACTGACGCGTGGCGTGCCCAGTTTCCTGATGCCACTGACCTGCCCCGCTGGGCTGATCTGGAGAAGAAGGGAGTTGATATCTGGGCTTTAGACTTTGATGCTATTCTCACTGCCATGTATGCGATGTTTACTAGTGGAGAGGGTGCTCAGTACTTGCGTGTTCCGCCCGACCCGGGCATTCAGACCAGTCCGGCTGCCGCTCTAGGTGCTAGTGAGTCTGCTGCCCCAGGTCCTGGTGAGGCTGCTGCTCTAGGTGCTAGTGAGTCCGTGCCCTCTGGTACTGAGTCGACTGCAGCACTGCACACCTTCACACTGGACTCAGGTGCTTCTCGCTGTTTCTTTCGTGACCGCACTGTCCTTGAGCCGCTTGCTCGGCCAGTTGCTGTCTCCCTCGCTGACCCCTCTGGGGGTCCGGTCGTTGCGACCTCCTCCACTGTCCTTCCTTGTCCTGCGGTCCCGTCAGGCACACTGTCAGGTCTCTACCTCCCCTCGTTCTCTACGAACTTGGTGGCAGGTAGTGCGCTCCAGGACGGGGGTGTTCACCAGTTCACCCCTGCTTACGAGCGCGTGACCCACTGCACGTGTGCTCGGACGGGCCGTCACCTGGCTACCTTCACTCGGCAGCCGGGGTCGGACCTGTACACACTGACCACTGAGTCCCCTCAGGTAGCTGCGTCCGCGTCTGCGTCTGCGTCAGGTCAGCTGTCCGCCCCCTGCTCGTGTCGCTCTCTGGCGCATGAGACTGTCCTCTGGCACCACCGCCTTGGTCACCCGTCTGTGCAGCGCCTTCGGGCCATGCACAAACGGGACCTTGTTGCTGGTCTTCCCAGGGTTCTCCCTCCCCTCCCACCCTCGCCTGCTCCTCCCTGTCTTCCCTGTGTCGAGGGGCGGCAGCGCGCCGCTCCTCACTCCTCCTCCTTCCCCCCGACGACTGCTCCTTTGCAGACGCTCCACATGGACGTGTGGGGCCCAGCCCGAGTCCGTGGTCAGAGTCAGGAGAGGTACTTCCTGATTGTTGTTGACGACTACTCGCGCTACACCACGGTCTTCCCCTTGCGCACCAAGGGTGACGTCCCTGATGTCTTGATCCCTTGGATCCGCAGATCTCGTCTCCAGCTCAGTGAGCGTTTCCGCTCCGACTTCCCTGTCCTGCGTCTGCACTCTGACAGAGGTGGGGAGTTTTCCTCTGGCCTCTTGGAGGCCTTCTGTCAGCAGGAGGGCATTGAGCAGTCGTTCACGCTTCCGGCCTCTCCACAGCAGAATGGGGTTGCTGAGCGCCGCATTGGCTTGGTCATGGAGGTCGCTCGTACCTCCTTGGTTCATGCGGCTGCCCCCCACTTTCTGTGGCCGTTTGCAGTCCGATACGCTGCGCATCAGCTCAACCTCTGGCCCCGTGTCTCCTTACCGGAGACTTCTCCGACACTGCGTTGGACGGGAGAGGCTGGCGATGCGTCGCGTTTTCGGGTCTGGGGATCTCGAGCCTTTGTTCGCGATACGTCCGCGGACAAGCTCTCCCGTCGAGCTGTCCCCTGTGTCTTCCTTGGCTTTGTCCCGGACGCGCCTGGTTGGCAGTTCTACCACCCCACCTCGCGTCGTGTCCTGGCCTCTCAGGACGTCACTTTTGACGAGTCCGTCCCCTACTACCGCCTCTTCCCCTACCGCACTGCCCCGCTCCCCCCCCCCGCCTCTCTTCCTCGCTCCAGGTGCTGAGGTACCAGACCCCCTCCCCCCTCAGGGTGCCGCTCCCTCAGGTGTGTCCCAGGTAGACCCGGTTGAGCCTGTCGAGGTAGCTGTTGACTCTCGTCCTGCTGGGGGTGCTGAGCCTGACCGTGAGGAGTCTGAGGGTACTGAGCCTGGGGGTGCGGAGCCTGGGGGTGCGGAGCCTGGGGGTGCGGAGCCTGGGGGTGCTGAGCCTGGGGGTGCGGAGCCTGGGGGTGCGGAGCCTGGGGGTGCTGAGCCTGGAGGTGCGGAGTCTGGGGGTGCTGAGCCTGGGGGTGCTGAGTCTGGGGGTGCTGAGTCTGGGGGTGCTGAGCCTGAGCGTGCTACACCTGGAGGAGCCCTCTCCTCCCGGCAGCTGCAGGAGCGGTACCTACAGTACTGCCGCCTCCGGAGAGGTGCTACTGGAGCTCGTACCAGTACTTCCCCTCCTGCCCAGGAGCTCCCCCCCATTCAGCAGATCCG